TCTCGGTGATTGATGATCTAAATTGGTTATGCGCCAAATAAACTTGTCAAGTAGTGCGTAATATGTACAAATACTAATTATGTTACATCGTTGTAAGGTTTCATCAAATAAAATGAGCGATGTTAGTTAATATTCGGATTTGAAGACTGAAGATTTACAAGACACTCCAGTTTGTCTCCTAAAACTACCATCAATCATCGGTTCGTTTACCTTTTGATTATTTTCAAAATACTCTTAGACTTGGCGCGCTTCGCTAGTCTCATCAAAGCGTTTTATTTAATGTTTCCGTTTTTATGTCTTTCACCTCCAAAAATTCTTTTTCGTTAACCCATTACCGTCCTGTTATTCCGAATGTCCCCTTGCTGTAACATCAAAGGATCATCATGAAAAAAAAATATATAAGGCATCGAGTATAATCAGAATGTTTTCAGTATCGCGTCGATAATTTAAAATTATGAAGTGGATCTGGGGAATTAAGAAGAAATGAACACGTCGAGGATTATAAAAAGAACACGTCAAGGCTTACGCCGGAATACCTATTAATACATGAGAAAGTGTGGATTTTATTTTCGTAGATCCCCAGCAATCAATACTACACGAAACAAACGCACACACACATCATCGCTATACAGTGTTTTGTTTTGTGTAAATTGGATTTGCGCGGATTGCTAAGATCTGCCAGCATTTGCAAATAGTTGAGCAACGATTGTGTCTGGAGGACAGATTGCAAAAAGGATGCGAATGTTGGATGCATTTCTTTGATTCTTCCTCTTGTTTTTATTTTCTCTCATTGGTTTCAGGTCGTAAAAGAGTTGGTGAAACGCTTTGGTTTATTTATAGATTCATAATTCGGCCGCATTTTCATAATATGTTATAAATTGTAATAAGGATATTCGAATTCGAGAAAAAAAAAATAGAATATAAAACCGATGATCTGGGTCATCTATAATTAAATGATTGTCGTAAACACTTTTGAGGTTTATCAACAACTCCAGTTCTCTTCTCTTTTTTTTCATTCTTCAACTACTTCTCACTTTTCGTGTATGTATATAAAGTTTACATTAAGCTCGATTAAATTTTTTTTTTGCACATTGATGTATTGTATTGACTTTACTGCGTTCAATGATTACAAACCGACAGAATTAATGCCCCTACTTTTTTTTGCAATTTCATTTAGCACACTGTAAATCCTGTTAGTCTAAATAGGATTTTACGTTAACCAGATCTTAATAAAAACAAGTTTACTTACAGTACATTAATAAAGGGATCATTAACTATATTCATTGTCAGGGATTCTTGTTTTATAAATAGACTATTTTAGTGATTTTCTCATAAACTATATTAGATTGAATGGATCCAAAAGATGCATAAGAAAACTGGATATTTGGAGAATGTAGAGAGTATTCATACATTGCTGTGGTTTTATCCATTTGGCTGTAATTCGAGATCAAAATTGAAGAAATGAAAAATTAACGCTTGAAAATCCTTTTTGTGATTTTCTCATAAACTATAGTAGATTGAATGGATCCAAAAGATGCATATGAAAGCTGGATGGTTGGAGAATGTAGCGAATATTCATACGTTGCTGTGGTTTTACCCATTTGGCTGTAATTCGAGTTCAAAATTGAAAAAATGAAGAATTAACGCTTGAAAATCATTTTAGTGATTTTCTCGGAAACTATATTAGATTGAATGGATCCAAAAGATGCATATGAAAGCTGAATGTTTGGAGAATGTAGCGAATATTCATACGTTGCTGTGATTTTACCCATTTGGCTGTAATTCGAGTTCAAAATTGAAAGAATGAAAAATCAACGCTTGAAAATCATTTTAGTGATTTTCTCGGAAACTATAATAGTATGAATGGATCCAAAAGATGCATATGAAAGCTGAATGTTCGGAGAATGTAGTCAGTATTCATATGTTGCTGTGGTTTTACCCATTTGGATGTAATTTGAGTTGAAAATTGAAAAAATGAAAAATTAACGCTTGAAAATCATTTTAGAGATTTTCTCAGAAACTATATTAGATTGAATGGATCCAAAAGATGCATATGAAAGCTGAATGTTTGGGAAATGTAGTCAGTATTCAACGTTGCTATGGTTTTATCCATTTGGTTGTAATTCGAGTTCAAAATTGAAAAAATGAAAACTTGACGCTTGAAAATCATTTTAATGATTTGCTCAGAAACTATATAAGATTGAATGGATCCAAAATATGCATATGAAAACTGGATGTTTGGAGAATGTAGTGCCCACATATTGTTGTGGTTTTGATCATTTATCTACAATTTGCTTTCAATGTTGAAAGAAAAAATGAAAAATTGACACTCGAAAAAGCAGTGTTTCTACATTTTCAGTGATTTTCTCGGAAACTATAATAGATTGAATGAAAGCATATGAAAGCTGAATGTTTGGGGAATGTAGCCTGTATTCATACATTCTTGTTTCTTCGTCGTTGTTTTGAATTCCGATACGAACTCAACAATTTAATTGACCAATAAATTCGAGTCTTTAAAACGATTGCAACAACAAATGAACGTTTATATCCACGTTCTCTGTAAACAATAGTTGTTAGTCATTGCGAGTAGTTTCCAAAACTGAATTTTTATTTTCGAACTTTTATTGAATTCCGATTTTGCTATCGTAAATCTCGACAATTTCCATTCAGATTTGTTTTAGAATCGGTTTTTCGCATGGAAAAAAAAATCGCAAAGAAAGTCCGACCATTCACGCGAAAAGCGTCTAATTTATTTCCACTATTTTCTAAATTTAAAACGTCGATCGTGTGCGTGTATGTGTTTTGGTTTTTTGGGCAGCACGCGTTTCTGCAGTTAACGAATATTTATGGCTTCAACAAGCGCACAACGATATACATTTTTTGTGCGCTCTTATGATTATATGATTTGTTTTGGTTTTATGTAAGTTTTATTTTATTTAGAGTGTGCATTTAATCTATTTTTTTTTTTCGTTTTTGTTTTGCAGAGCGTTGAGTTCCACGAGAAGGGAAGACGGCACAAGGATAATGTTGCTAAGAGGTTAAAATACATCACGAAGAAGTCCAGTTATGATGAGAGGCAGAACCTCAGGGAGGACAGGGCTTTGGCGCAAATGGAGGCCGCAGCTCTGGAAGCGTACAGGAAGGACGTTGAGAGTAATGCCGACCTCACCTCGATCAACATCAATAAGAAAGTGGCCGAGGATAATTTGGCCATCTCCGTGAAGACGGGAAAGATGTGGCGCGAGGCTAAATCTGAAGGTGGACAAACTTATTATTGGAACATCGTAACGAACGGTACGAATCATCATGGGTTTTGGTAGCAAAGAAGTAATGTTGTTGATTTGCAGAATCCGCGTGGAAAGCGCCGGAGGAAGGTTTCTTGAGCATAGCGGAGCAGAACGAAGACTCAGCCAATACCTCGAAGGCGCAGTGGAAGGAGTTCAACAAGAAGCAAATACTTGATACGCGATTGAAGTAAGAATGAAAGCAATAATTTTGGGTGTTTCAAGATTAATAATTCGCGTTTTCAGGGCTCAAACTGAAAAGAAGCAGGATGATGAGGATCGGGCGAGAGCGGCCAGAGAGAAGATGAAGGAACGCAGGGTGGAGGATATAGCTCCTGTAGTTGCTGCTCCATTGTTAGAGGAAGGGAAAACGAATCCATACGGGAGATGGAACGTGGTCCAAACCACCATCATCGAAGATCCTGAGTAAGTATAATCTTACACTCCTATAAATTGAATCGTGTACATAATTTTCTATTTTGTCTTATAGACCTCAAAAGGATAATCGGGAAACAGGAGCTGCTGAGGAAGATGAAGAACAAGCTGCGGAAGAGGAACCTCCAGTGAAGGTGTTTAAAGAGAAGACCGTTGAGAGTTTGGGTGGTAACGAGAAGGTTCAGTTTAAGAAGAGGAAGTTCGGTGGTGGCTTCAAGCGAAGCGTCAGGACGAGGACGGAGGATGAGGAAGACTGATCGATTCTTTGCACTGAAGAACGAAACGTAAATAGGACCAATTCAATTGTTTATTTTAATCCGTTTGTATATTTGTATATTGCTTTTATTTTAATAATAAAAAAAAATCGACAACTTTTGGTTAAATTTGTATCTTCCTATCTTCACCTTTTATTTAATTACAAGACATCCATGCAATCTAATTAAAAGATTTAATATGCAAATTATAGATAAAACTATGGTCTTTCCAATGATCACACCGAAAACTTAATAATTTGGCAACTACACAAAGTAGGTACAATTATATATATACAAATTAAAGATAAAAGTACAGACTTATAGTGTGTATACAGAATACTAACAAATATTTCCCTATTTCTTCTATAATTAACTTTTAATCAAAAATAATTATTTAAATTTAGTATTACGACTAAAAGCGACAAGATGGCGTTTATTACAAATAATAAAATGCAACTATCATAGTAACTAATTAACCAAATGTAAAGACAAATAAACTAATATCATCTGTATTAGTATATAATGATAATGCGAAACGTGTTTATATTAATATTTGTGTTTTTAATGAAATTGATTTTGAACAGCGCAGAAATTGCTGAACTATAATCTTCATTGTATTGCGAAGAGATGGCACTAGCTGTTACAAAAATTTGATATTCCTTTTTGCGCCTAAGATCCAGGCAACACAACATACATATCAAAATGCTGTGATTTCACGTTAATTGCATGTTAATATTTGTAATAAACGTCACCTGCTATGTAATAGTCGTAATACATAATTTTATTTATTTATTATTGATAAATACAAATTTTCAGAACGTTTATTAGGATATTGGCGCCTATAATTCATCGGCAAACAACACAGTTCAACAAAAATTATAAACTGGAGACTATCAACATCTGAATGGCACAGTTGGATAACTTCTAGTATTGATATTTCGTTTTTGAATGATCCTGAAAATTTGAAACTTTTCTATGATTGATAACTTTATTGTAGGCAACCAAACATACATGTCTGTATGTTTGATTACAGAATTCCAATAAAATGCATAAACTGAAGACTTACCTTTCGAATGTGCGTACTGAAAATTTTTAGCTTCATTTTACAATTGTAGAACTGTTTTATATTTATTTTAAATATTTTTATATTTACAAAAATATGCATGTTAGGAAAATCTTGAAAAACGAGATATAATTATTGTTTCATTTATTAGCAAATACAATAATAACGGATTAAAAATTGTATACATATAAAAATATATTAATAACAGTATATCAATACCATTTTTCCTTCCACGTTATAATGCATGTTGTTTTTGTTTTAATTGTTTAATAGAAGAAAACAATTGTTACGAAATGCGCGATCGACATTACTCAAATTTCTTTCATTTTCAGTAGACATTTTTTTAGTGTGTAAACAACTAGAAAGCAATATAAATTACTACATATGATATATAAATATTATTCTTTGGATTCCTTACATAATACTCAAAAATAAAGAAGAAATACATCCGTAAAAAAAACGTCATTTTATACTTAAAAGAAGAAAACAACCTTAGTTACTACCACCCTCGTCGCTTCCAGAGCGCTGGTAATTGTGTCTTCGCAGTGCGGAAAGCTTGAACCTCTCCTCCTCCAGTTCCTTTTCCAAGGCGAGAACCCTCACCTGAGCCTCCATCTCCGATCTGGTCGCTTGCAGAACGGTCATGTTGCTCAGATCCAATTCGGTGGGTTCGTCTATCAGTTCACTGCAATCCTTCACCGTTCCGACGATCGCCCCGGTGCAACTGGTAACGTTCTTCGAGGCATCTGAAAGGTTCTTCAGATTCTCGCTGTTGCGGTGCGCCTTCACGCGACTGGCCACCACCAATTGTGCTGTCGACGCGGATATCTGATGGGCAGCTACCACGAGCTGCTCAAGCTTACCCTCACCTCTGACCACTTTATCAGCTGAACTCCTGCAAAAAAAAAAAAGAAAGATGAAAATCATTTCTGCAACTGGTCTAAACAATCATGAACTTGTCATACTTGTTGCTATGGAGAATAACAATATAATACTTTGTACAAGTTACTTGTCAAGTATAGCATAATTATATATGTGTAATTGTTCTTTATTATAAGCGTTACTACTCTATAAATCGTCTTTACAAATGCATCAACGCCACACTTTGCTTAACTTTCCTGTATTGTCACAAAACATCTTCTAGTGTTGAATTTTGTTTTATTAAGTGAAGCAAGGGTTTAAACAATAAACTAAATGTAATATTTGTTAATTTTTAATTACAAACAATAATTACTGTTTTGCTCAATTTGCACACAATTGAAGATCTAATTTCTGAATTTGTGGTAAAAGACTATGTATTAGTTTATTGTCCTTATATTAGTGCATCTGTCTTATAATGGTCATTAGTTCAAAGGAAACTAGAATTGTATCCCGTTACATGGATATACTATTAATCTATTTTCCTTCCAGTTTATAAAGTTCTACTATATTGTTGGCTTGCTTCACTGTGGGTAAATCAATCATAGCATTGTTGTACGTGAAAGCCCCTTTTCCGGACTTCTCGTGCGCTTCGAACGCTTCCAAAACTCCCTTAGCCCAATTATATTGAGTGACGGTGGGCAGGAAAGCCTTCTGCACAATAGGAACTTGGTCGGGATGAATGACCTGTTTCCCGGTGAACCCAAACGCAGCGCCCTGCTCCGACTGCCTCTTCAGACTCTCCAAATCTTTGTACTGAATATGCACGACATCGATTGCTTGCATCTTGTAAGCTTTCGCAGCAGCAACCATCTTCTGCCTCGCGTAAATCAGCTCACCACAATCCGAACTCTTCCTTGCCCCAATATCAGCCAGATAATCATCTCCACCGAAGATAAGCCCAGCTGGATTGAAGTTGGCCTTCTTGCCCTCATCAAAAGCAACCCTTATAATCTCAGTCACATTCAGCACTGCCATTGCAGACTCAATGAGCATAACCAAATTGAAACCTCTGTTTGGGTACTTGCTGACCTCTGCAGAGAAAGCCTTCACTTGCTCTATGCTATTCACCTTTGGCAAAACTATGGTATCTGGAATGGTGGGGTTTGTTAAAGCAGCTTCAACATCATGCACAAAGTACTCTGTGCTAATATCATTCACCCTGAAACCTAAATCATATTCTCTATTCTTCATCGGTTTTGGGTTCTGCAGGATCTTTCTCAAGGTTTCTCTGGCATGGGTCTTCTTGTTACTTGCCACACCATCCTCACAGTCCATCACAATGCAATCCACATCAAGTTTAAAGGCTTTACCCAATTTTCTTTCATCACTGCCAGGTACATACATCAAAGCCCTTCTTGGCAAGTTGGAGAAGCTTCTTGCATTATGCACCGCATTCAATTTCGTTATATTGAAAATCTGTTGGAACATCTTTTCCAACTTTAATTGAAATAATATAACCTTTGCAGATGCTTTGACATCTCTTATCAATCAATACAGAAAAAGGCAACTGCATACACTCACTTGTTATGAGAGTCGCATATCTTAAAGAATTTTTAAAACAAATTTCTCAAAATCAGAACTACCTGAACAAATTGATGTGTCTTATTGGCTGAATTCGTTTCAGCTAACTCCCATTCAAGTAAATAAATGTTTCATCAAATAGAACTTAAGAATTTGAAATAAAATGTGAAAATAGTCGAAATTGTAGGTTTAAACGATAAAGTAACGTTACTTACAGTAAATATGTAGCTGCTACTCCAATAGCTTTAGCAGCGGATATGAATCCATCGGTCCACTTGTGATTCCTCTTGTAAAACTCCTTGGCAGTTGCAGTTCCTTTACCCTGCTGCACGATTTCCTCCTGCAGCAGCTTAGATTTCTGCACTAGAACTCTGATGGCCAGCATAAGCATCGTGCAGCTATCGAGGATCTTCTCGTTCACTTGCAATTTGATGCCAGAGTCCGCTTCACGAGATTTGCTCAACATTTCCTGAAATTAAGAAGAACAAAATTCTATAATTAGTAACTGACTGACGTGCAGATATCAGTAGACATTTACAAATATCCGTACGAACGTACTGTACGTTCGCTTAGCGTACATCAATTTTGTACTAACCTGCATCTTTTTCGCGCCTTCTTCTATAGCCTTGTCCATTGCAGTGATTTCGCACTCCAACATATTCTCCAAATTCTCCGACACGTTTCCATGGATTCTCTCGATCATGGTTTCAGCGAGCGAAGCAACACTGGACAGATGGTCCAGACTCTTCTGCAGTCCTTCGTCTGTCAGCGATCGCGTCTTGATGCCCTCCAGCAAATTCAAGACGCTCTCACCGAGAGCTTTGCATTCATCGGTCAATTCTGAAACGCAAAACCAAATAAACAAACATACATACAATTAAACAAGAAATATACTCACTTTCTCCGAACGAAATATCAGGACTGGTATTGGAAGTGGCTCTCCCTTGTAGAATGAAAATACTGAACTTACAGGCAAGTTTGTTAGCGGCAGGTAACAAGTATCGAGGTTCGTCGAGCGACAATCCTCTCAAAGATTCTATAGCTTCTTGGCAAGGAACCGTCGAGGCTCTCAAGTATTCGGGAGTGCAGGAAAGAGCCGAAGTCGCAGGGCTCTCAGACTCGACGATAGAGCATTTCAGGCAAGCCACGTTCGCATCCAAAGACTTCTCCACGAAGTCCTTCAGTTTATCATCGTTTTCGCTCTTCACTATAAGCAAAAATTATCAAAAAAATTACGTAATTAGAATTTTTAAAAAATACTCACTTTTTATCACTTCCACGGATTGCTTGGAAATGCTCGACATCAACTCATTGATCTTCTCATCAAGCTCCTTCTTTTCCATTTTAGTTTCCTCCAATTTTTTCCTAGTCTCCACCAAGCTCACATCAACCTCAGAACTATTTTTCTTAAAAGCCTGAAATAATAATTATTTTACTATTAGATTTAATAATTAAATATTTTAACTTTTTACCTCTTTTTCCATTTTCAAAGTCTCGATTTCTCGATGGAATCCGGCCAATTCGTCGGATTTTTCCAATTTCACGGATTGCAACTCTTTGAGCGCTTCGTTCTGCTTCATCTCCGCCTCCTTCAGCTTCGTTTCCACAGTTTTATTGAAACTCACCAATTCGGGCATCTTCTCCTCCGCCGATTTCAAACTTTTATCCACTTTAGCTTTCTGCAATATAAATCTTACATAGCAAATCTTCAAATTACATACAAAAATAAAAATACCTCTCGCAACAAACTGATGTGCTCCTCGCGCAATTTCATGTAATAATTCTTGAAGCGCTCTTCCTTCTCTTTATCTGTGATAAAAATAATGAATTACTTAATCCCTTTAATTGCTGTTTGACTTACGTTCTTGATCCTGCGCTTGAGAAAGCGCGTTCAACTCGTTCAGTTCTTTCTCGTGAGTCAACTCGCTTTCTTTAATAGCCAACTTCGTTTCTAAATTGGTTATGTGATCTTCCATTTTATTCTTATCCTCTCTACCTTTCCTATACAAATCGTTAACTTCGACCCTGAAAAGTAATCTTTAGTAATTCATTAATGCGAGTATTTAAAAGAATTAACCTTAATCTCTCGCAATCCTCTTGCAAATTTTTAATGATATTATCCCGCTCCGCGATTATATCGAAGTTATCCGGGAGGTAACTTATAGGCGCGGTGTCGGGAACGTCAGCGGTGTCAATCAGGTTGGCGGTGGTCGGCTCTTCCTCTTCGGGTGGAACGTAAACCTCCTGCGTTACGTAAGTGTTGAAGTTGTCTTGGAAATTGGGCGGTTTCTAAACATAAACAATAAATGACAATCTAGTAAATCGATGAATTAAAAACAAAGACGTACATCGGGTAATGGAGGAACGGTGATCAGATTCTTGAAGTAATGCATCATGTTCGTATGTTGGTAGAAGAGCTTCAGCTGCTTGAACTGCTTCATGAAGCGATCCCGATGTCCGGAGAGTACGTCGTAAGGTACTGAAGAATGCAGCAGAAAGAGGATCTTCACGTTGTGATCGTAAATGCGTGAGGCGTCCTGGATGCAAGGAATGATCGGTCCGAGGCGGCATTGTCCTTGCATCGTCATCGAACTTGATTTATACAGGAATACTACAAAAACCAATTAGTTCAAATTAACTTCAATCATTGATAACTCACTAGTCTTTTGAAGATCCAGGATGGTATCCAAGTAATCGAACATCTCGACGGACATTTGGAAGCTGCAAACATTGAAAATTTTTAAGATTAGTTCAGTACTGTTTGTTGATGTTATCCTAGAAGGCGGTTATACCATATATCCGGATTGTTTCCGCATATAGACGTCAAATCGTCCGTGGTAACGTTCAGGTTGCCTGGAAACCGAGGATTTTTCCGATGAAAATCCAGCTTGTTCATAAGGATATGCGTGTACTGTTTTATCAATTTCCCATAACCATCCTCCAAATGACCCTAAAATAATAACAAAGATAATATAAAAATCATTTCATACTTTCATAACTGAAAAACAAACTAATGATGTTCAAGCAAATGAAATTAACTAAATAAATATTTACAAGTTAGAAGAAAATTTACCCATAGTTTTCCAATATTATCCAGATATTCCCTGTGCCTCTGGCTGTGGCTCAAACACAGAGGATGTCCCTCCCTCAGAATTTTGTGCAAAACATAGCAGAATTTCCAAGCTACAATCATGTCATCCATGCATGGCAATCGCACAGAGATGCTCCAGAACACCTGAGCCCCTTGCTGTGAAAATGTGCCGATGATTGCAGACCTGACATGTTTCTGCTTGACAGGTGATTCCTCCTTGTTGATGGCTTTGTGAAGAGCGACATTCTAAAATACACACATTTCGCTATATCAAATATTATAAAAAGAAACAAGAGCACACACATAAAACACTATAAGTGTACTTACATGCTTCATAAACTCTTTTTCACTGTAAACTTCGTCCATATTAAGTAAAATTAATATTTAAAAAAAAAATTGCAATAAATAAAAGTATGTGGGTAGGAGATTAGTAGGTTTTGCATGCAATGGATATCTGGAAAATAAAATTTTTAATTAAATAAAGATCATGCCGAATGCAAAATGCACTTACTTTATTTACAGTAGTTTAATTGAGATGAGAACGTATTTACACACTGGTATAATGGAAGTGTGATAAAATATCAGTGATGAGTGAGATAAGATAAAATTGTTTGTTTTTAGAAATAATATATATAGAAAATGAAATGCTGATAATCATTCAATAGTTGAGAGTGTTTAGAAAGCTGTGTGGAATATGAAGGAAGTGAATAGATAAATAAACAAATGGTAAATAGAAAAGTGAGTCATGGAAGTGGGTGTATTCATTCATGCAGATGTTCTATGCACTCACCTGGGACTTTTCAAAGTTTTCCCTCTCGATTTCCAGACTTGTCTTCCTGGTCTGGAGCACCCTCGGCAATGATAGTGAAGCCATAGCCAACAAACAGCTTCAATTCCTTTATTTTCAATTGTTACAGTAACGAAATGTACAGTAAAAACTCTTTTATTTTCTTCTTCTTCTTTGGTGTCAGCAACAATTTCAATTCAACATAATGTTTTTTATGTTATTGTACTTCTCTTCAATTCAACACACAATTATTGTATGCAGATTTCAACAATTACCAAAGACGTACCGTTATCAGCACACGATTCCAGCGCAGTTACACTAACAAATAAATAAATAAATACATATAAAGTACTGCACACAGGAAGGAAATTGTGACAATGACAATAAATTGTGGACTGAAGTTAATGCAAGCAGCTGCTGCTCCTGTTACATAAGTTGCATACATCTCAATATTCAAAATTTGAATCTACAATTTACTTATTATATAACAATAATCATTGTTTTCAGATATCTACCATTATTATCACATTATCTACTTATTTGGGGATAGTTTAACAAACTGTTAATGTGTACTTTAAAATTTAACATCCACTTTAACTGCCAATTCACCTAAATATTTATTATAATAATACCTTAAATATTATTAACTAAGACTAATAAGATTTACGTCTTATTGAAATACTAATTACAATAATTATTGGAATTATCTAAATTTATTATATTTTTGCTTCCATTTTCTATCAGTATAATAATAATTATTGTTAATAATAATCTTATTTTTAATGAAAAAAAAAATGCATTAATTAACATTTTGCTACTAATTAATTAAGTTTTCAGTAAGCATTACCATTCAGAGTGAATAAAGTTGCCTATGTAAATATTCAAATTTATTCAAATTTTTACTAATTACATCATAATTAAAACAAATATTTGGAACTAATCATCAACCGGGCATTTAAAGTTGTTGTTTCTTGTTTAAATAATTAATTATTTCGATGAATATTTATGATAACTAATTTGTAAATAATTGATTATGAACTAGTTTTTTTTTAATTTATAATTTCTTGTTATATAAACATCAACTATTGTAATAATTATTAATTTATTATGAAAATTTTGTACCTGAACGTGTTTTTGAAGTATTAAATAATTTGTGTTATTTGTAGCAAATTTTAAGGAATAATGAGTAAAAATGTGTACAGTTTTGACAATGTAATTAGAGGTTGAACAATGAATGAATAATTTGAATTGTTTGACGCACGTGACAATTGTTTACATGAGTTTCACAATTAAAATATTCTTTATTTGGAATCATTGAAGCCTTGTCACGGCTATTTCCTGTACATAAAATATCCAAAATTAACATAACTCATTTTAACATATGTTAACATGAGCAAACACTAAATAACAGTTAATTACCGAATTGATATAATATGCTGTCAAAATTGAATATGTATAGTCTTCACGTTATATTGAATTACTCTTTAACAACGCATATTAATTAGATCATTGCAGATGCACTCAAAAGATAAAATTATAACCATTCCAATGATCATATTATCTAATTTGTGTTATACACCGTTCTTCACTTTTAAACTGTAAAAGTTGAGCAATAAAATTTGGGTTTGAATTGAAGAATCTTCATATTTTATTTAATTTCTTGATGACCACGTATAGCAATTAGATCATTAATTGTGTATATTAAACATAAAACTATAGTCTTTCTTATGATCATATTACCAAATTTGTGTTGTACACAGTTCTTCAGTTATAGGCTGTCAAAGTTGATTAATAAATGTTAGGTTTGAATTGAAGTGTCTTCACATTTTCTCCTTCTATTTATCTGTGAAAACATAATGAAAATTACATAAGCCCTTAATTACAGCTTGACTTACGTTCTGTAGCCTGCGCTTGAGAAAGCGTGTACAGTTCTTTCTCGTGGGTCAACTCGCTTTCTTTAATAGCCAACTTCGTTTCTAAATTGGTTATGTGATCTTCCATTTTATTCTTATCCTCTCTACCTTTGTTATACAAATCGTTAAATTCGAACCTGAAAAGTATTCTTTAATAATTCATTAATGCGAGTATTTAAAAGAATTAACCTTAATCTATCGCAATCCTCGTGCAAATTTTTAATGATATTATCCTGCTCCTCGATTATATCGAAGTTATCCAGGCGGTAATTTAAAGGCGCGGTGTCAATCAGGTTGGAGGTGGTCGGATAGTTCTCTTCTGGCAGAAAGTAAACCACTCGCGGTACGTTAATGTTGAAGTTGTCTTGGAAATTGGGCGGTTTCTAAACAAAAACAATAAATGATAATCTAGTAAATCGATGAATTAAAAACAAAGAGGTACATCGGGTAATGGAGGAACGGTGATCAGATTCTTGAAGTAATGCATCATGTTCGTGTTTTGGTAGAAGAGCTTCAGCTGCTTGAACTGGTTAATGAAGCGATCCCGATGTCCGGAGAGTACGTCGTAAGGTATTGAAGAATGCAGGTAGAAGAGGATCTTCAGGTTATGGTCGTAAATGCACGAGGCATCGTGGATGCAAGGAATGATCGGTCCGAGGCGGCATTGTCCTTGCATCGTCATCGAACTCGATTTATACAGGAATACTACAAAAACCAATTAGTTCAAATTAACTTCAATCATTGATAACTCACTAGTCTTTTGAAGATCCAGGATGGTATCCAAGTAATCGAACATATCGACGGACATTTGGAAGCTGCAAACATTGAAAATTGTTAAGATTAGTTCAGTACTTTTGATGTTATCCTAGAAGGCGGTTGCACCATATATCCGGATTGTTTCCGCATATAGACAACAAATCGTCCGTGGTAACGTTCAGGTTGCCTGGAAACCGAGGATTTTTCCGGTGGAAATCCAGCTTGTTCATAAGGATATGCGTGTACTGTTTTATCAATTTCCCATAACCATCCTCCGAGTTACCCTAAAATAATAACAAAGAAAATATAAAAATCATTTCACACTTTCATAACTGAAAAACAAACTAATTAATTTGACTAAATCAAAATTTACAATTTTAGAAAATTTACCCATAGTTTTCCAATATTATCCAGATATTCCCTGTGCCTATGGTTGTGGCTCAAACACAAAGGGTGTCCTTCCCTCAGAATTATGTGCAAAACATAGCAGAATTTCCAAGCTACAATCATGTTATCCATGCAGGGCAATTGCACAGAGATGCTCCAGAAAACCTGAGCCCCTTGCAGTGAATATGTGCCAATGATTGCAGACCTGACATGTTTCTGCTTGACTGGTGATTCCTCCTTGTTGATGGCTTTGCGAAGAGCGACATTCTAAAAATACACACATCTTCCTATATCAAAGATTATAAAAAAACATATAAGAACACACACATAAAACACTATAAGTGTACTTACATGCTTCATAAACTCTTTTTCACTGTAAACTTTGTCCATATTAAATAAAATTAATATTTAAAACAAAAATATAATAAATAAAAGTATGTAGGTAAGGTTTTTGCATGCAATGTATATCTGGAAAATAAAATTATTTATTAAATAAAGATCATGCGATCAAGCAAAATGCACTTACTTTATTTACAGTAATTTAATAGTGGTGAGGACTTATTTACACTGGTATAATGGAAGTGTGATAAAGTATCAGTGATGAGTGAGATAAGATAAATATTGGGCTTGAATTGAAATGTCTTCACATTTTATTTAATTACTCGATGACCACAAATACTAATTTAAACATTTAGAATGTATTTTAAAGATAAAACCTTGGGCTTTCCAGTAAGTATAGTCCTCTATAAGCAATCAATATATGGAAATTTTTTATTTACTTTTTTATTATTTAACTATTATATTAATCATTCAATTCCTATAACTATATTTGTAATCATGAGTCATTATTCGTTTCCTGCATTTGCTTGATATCAGCTGGTAAAATAAAAGTAAATTGTTTAATAATTTTATTAAAATAAAATTTATTAAAGTAAATATATAATTTATCAATGTAACAAAATGATAAATAATTACTTAATATTGTATTCGTTTATTGATTGATCACACTTACACACTAATTACAATAAATATACAGTACACTTCTTATTACAAAAATTAGTACAAGAAATAACAAAAAAGTCACATTGAATTATCAAGAGATAAAAAATACAATGATTATAAAAATTAGCAAACATTTAAGGCACATCGATCAACGCTTTGAACACGAGATTTTTACCATTTTGTGTATACAGTATATAAAATTGAAAATTGAACTTTTCATTCATCAGAATTAATACAGTAGAAAGTTTTATTTTTACTATAAATCGAGATTACGTTCGTTCAAATGCATTGTTAAGCAGAAAGCTTCAACTAATCTATATTTATATAAAATTAGACGAATTAAAGATTAGTTAAAGCTCAGATTTACAGTCCCCTGTACGACCTTTGAGCTAAAACTGTGCTGAAGAGGTAGAGAATGGCGATGGCTAATCCAATAGACTGAAATAAAAGAAAATGATTAGATAATCGCTTTTTATGATTATAACGTTGATTATTGTGACGTTGTAATTGTCATTATTATGTAATTTTAGGGTTAGTGACATTGATTAAACGTCAAAAATCAATGTCACTAATCCTAAAATTACATAATCCAACGTCAAATTTTGATAGTAGATCAATTAGTCCATTTAATATTAAAATTACATAATTAATTACTCTTGTAAGAAGAGATTGTAAGACTATTAAATGTATATACAAATTTGATGATTAATTACTACAAATTTTCCTTGGTTGATTACATAATTATGACATTTGTTTAAAACTGTCAAAATTATGTAATATCTAAAGTTCTTTGAAATTTAGATAATATAAGTACTAATAAAGAACATTTTGTTGTCTTTAAGTCTTCTGTTTATGACTTACTCCTGCTGCCATATCAGGTTCATAGCTTCCGCTGCGTCTATTATCACTGACTTTGACGAGGAAAGCGATGCTCGCAGCAATGTACATAATGCAGGCTGCTCCATGATAGATCACTTCCTGCAATAACATGAAATTTTCTAAAAACTTTTCTTCAAGATAAAATCTTTGATCTTACGTATGATGTCTTGCTGATGATCGAAGCAGTGGAAATCGATGTGAGGCAGGAGAGAAGTAGCAGGAAGGTTGCAATCAGAAACGTCACGGCCATCAGCAGGAAGAAGATCTCGTGGGTGTAGTAAAAGGTCTTGTGGTAATGTCCCAATAGACCTACGACAACGATTCCCAAAATCTGTAAATTAAATTCTTAATTAAGATGAGCTAATAGTAAGATTAGACAATGCTCTAAAATTGGACGTGGCTCACATTTCATTTACTACAAAATTAGCTG